AGGCAAAAGGTTCGTATATAGAAAATAAAAGTGAAAAAATGCATCAAGCCCCACAACTCTCTCAGCCTGAAGAAAGAATGGCACGAATCCGGTGTGTGTCCACACTGCACCCTCCGCTGAGGAACTTCCAGCATTCTGCTTCTTGCTCCTGCAGGGCTGCAGGCTTCATCCTGTGAGACAACACCAGCTAGCGTCCACAACAGAACTGATTGCTTTCTGGGTATAAGGGACCTCAGGAATTTTATCACAGAAGCAGCCACGTCATGGCAACAAAGTAGGAGTAAAATAAGATTCACCTCATTTGACTTTTTTTGTGAATGAATTCATTTTAGCCATTTTTAAAAGTAGAAGTAACACACTCTCACTGAAGACACACATAGTCTGCATTCTGTGCTGTGCTCATTTGGAATTCATTCACTCTTTCCCATCTGCCAAACAAATGTCTATGATTTTCCACCAAGATTTTCATACTTTTTATAAAATAATACTCTATATACTATTTTCAACAATTTATATCTTGTCATTAAAAAAAAAGCATCACACCCATGCCTATAGATCTAGGGGTATGCATTGCATTTGACTTTAGCAAATTTCAATTTATTTCTCTAGAGATGAACATTAAGGACTCGTTCCAAGTTTCTGGTTACTGTTGTTATCTACTTTTAAAAACACTGTAATGTAGGGAGCGAAGGAAGCCCCGAGGGAGAGAAGGCAGAGTGAATGTGGTGTTGACATTGGCACAGCCATGCCCTCAAGGACCCCCAAGACCTAAGATCAATGGGACAATTTGGCAAAGCCATTGTACACATGACCCAGGATGATTGCTAACATCTATGCTTGACTAAGCAGTGTGCACAAAATCTAGCAGCTGCAGTTTTCTTCTTCCAGATGTTACAGCCTGAGATGGCTTGCCTACAGAGACCTGCAACCAAGATGAGTTAACCCCTGTTCTTGTTCTGTGCTTGCTAAGGTTCAGGTTGCCGTGGTAGCAGTTGCAGAACCCTCCTGATCCCAAGCTCACTCTCCGTGTCTCGTGCATCCGTGATTTCTTCATTTGCTCACCGACCCAGAGGGTTCCAGGACCCAATTCATGACTGGGTATCTCTACAATAGATTTACTTCTGTTGGTGCCTTGCGTACACATAGTAGAAGCCATGATACAATAAGATGTAGCCCGAACATGACAAGAGCTCAGGGGTGCTGCACATTGTTTATAACAGTCGTATTGCTTATTACCAAGTATATAATCCTGTAGATGCTGATAAACTCCTACACAGACAGAACTGACAGGCCTCTTTTCAAGATACAGGAAGTGTGTACCAGCCAGCGAAGCTCCATTACGCCCCTGCCTAACCAAATCTGCCTCCATACCGTAGATCAGCCATCCTCCTGATGTCTGCTTTGTCATTTGCTACACTTGAATCATAAGGTTTGTATCCTCTTGATCTGGCTTCTTTAGCTCAACACACTAGGTTATTCCACTTTATTATATGGATAAAATCATAGCAAGCATTTCTCTTTCTCCTCTTGTGAATGTAAAGCGGACATTCATCCACCAAGCTACATTCCAGCCATTCAAAAACAATCTTCTCTTTCAAGACAAGATCTCCTAAGTTGACCAGGCTGACCACACAGTTGTGATCTTCCTGCCTCTGACTCTTGAGCAGCAGCAAAGTACAGGATGCAGTACCAACTCTTTCCAGTGCATGGGCTGTGTTTTGTTGAAAACACTTAAACTGTTGCTGATACTGTGTGGTAATATATTAATCCATTTTTTTTTCTTATTTCCAAGACAGGGTTTCTCTGTGTAGCCCTGCTGGTCCTGGAACTCACTCTGCAGACCAGGTTGGCCTTGAACTCACAGAGATCTGCATATTTTTGCTTCCCAAGTGCAGGGATTAAAAGCAAGCACCACCACCACCACCCAGAAAATATGGTGGTTCTTTACCACAGGAAATAGCTGCCTGAACAGCATTTTAACTCTTTAAGTTAATTTTGTTAGATACTGCCAGCTACCCTCACAGTAGATGACAGGGTTCATTCACCATTTCCCCAAACTTACTTCATCCTGACTGAGCAGAGAATTTTCCCTTAAATAGCAAGCACCTGAACAAGGGATCTCTTTGGACTCATAGTTCAGAGGAATGAAATCCATCATGAATGGAAAAGAACAGTAGAAGGAACAAGCTAGCCCACAGAAGTAAAGAAAGGGGAAGTAGGAACCAGGAAGTAGAAACGGGGGCATCTTGAAGTCTAACTGGCTTTCTACTTCCCCCCTTTTTCATCCAGTCTGGGACTCCTGCCGTGGATGGTGCTACACACATTTAGAGTAGCTCTTTCTGCCTCAATTAACTTTCCCTGAACACTTCCTCACAGACACACCAGATTGTGCTTCATTTTTGCCCTGAAGACCTAGATGTCTCTTCAGTCAATAAAGCTGTCAACTGATTTAACAATCACAGAAAAAACTCCTAGGTGATGAGAAGCTGAGCGAGGCATGCTTCTTAGTCCTTCTGTGGTTTTTCTGAACAGAGAAGAGAGCCCTGCAGTTATCGAGGCTGGAGGTTTCCGTGCGGTACAACAGGGAAAATCAGACTTAGGAGGTCAAGTTAAAGCAGGTACTGATTTCACAAAAGGGTTAGCTGGATTTGGGGGGGGGGGCGGGGGAGAGCTGGGCAATAGTGGCGCACACTATTAATTCGAGCACTTGGGAGCAGAGGTAGGTGGACCTCTGTGAGTTTGAGGGCAGCCTGGTCTACATAAGTGAATTCTAGGTCCCAGAACAGACAGAGCTACATAGTGAGACCCTGTCTCAGAAAAAGAGAGAGAGGAAGAGAAGGGAAAGAGTGTTCTAGACAGACATATGAGACTAAGCAAAGTCTAAGTGCTCACATTAAAAAAAATTGTAGGGATAGAACAGGGTCCTCCCAGATGCACACACACACACACACACACACATGTACACACAGAAGCATATATGAACACACAAATGATATATGAACTGATGAAATTTGAATAAAATCTACAAATCAAATGCTACTATATCAAAGCTAAGCTTACTGATTTTGGTAACTTCTCTATAAATAAGAATCTTAGTTTTTAGGAAATACCCATTAAAATTTGGGAGCTAGAAAAAGAATGGTGTTCACAACATATTCTCAAATAGTGATGGAAAAAGAAAACAGGAAAACAATAGGTAGTAGGTAGGTAGGTAGCTAGATAAACAGATGATAGACAATAGAGCAAACATGGGAAGATTGTAAAAAACTGGTGAATCTAAATGAAGAACATATGAGGGCTTCCATACCAAACTTTTAATTTTTCTGTAAATTTAAAATTATTTAAAGGTAGAAATTTCTTGTTCGAGATAGTGGCTCAGGAGTCTGCAGCAGGAAGGCCAGAAGTTCCAGGCCCTTTCTGGGCAATTTAGAAAACTCTGTGTTGTTTCAAGATAAAACAAAAAAACAAAAACCCATGATTAAAGTGGCGTGACGTCAGTGGTAGTTGACAGAGTGCCTGTCTATCTCCAATGGAGAAGGGAAGGTTCTTGGAGAGGGAAAGAAAAAGGGAGGAGAGAAACAAAAACAAATACTTTTAATTAATACTCAGAATACAAAACTGTTGGAGGAGGGGGCTGCTTGTTCATCCTGGCCACTCAGAACCGAAATAACAACTCAGAAACTGTATTAATTAAATCACTGCTTGGCCCATTAGCTCTAACTTCTTTTTGGCTAACTCTTACATATTAATTTAACCCATTTCTATTAATCTGTGTATGGCCATGTGGCTGTGGCTTACTAGCTAAAGTTCTTGCATCTGTCTCCAGCTGGGCTACATGGCATCTCTCTGAATCTGCTTTTCTTTCTCCCAGCATACAGCCTAGGTTTCCTGCCTAGTTCTCTTCTTCTCTGCCATAGGCTCAAAGCAGTTCCTTATTCATTAACCAATAAAAGCAACACACAGACAGAAGGACCTCCCACACCACAAAACCCTAACATGGTGAGTCAAGAAGCAAGGCAGCTTCAAGGGCGCTAAGCAGGCCCTGAGAGAACCGCACAGTACCTCTGAGGGTGCAACCCCAACATGATGCAGTCACAATCTTCCTGACCCTGTCTCCCAACATTGTCGCACGCACCAAGGCCCAAGTTTCCAGAGTACGGATCTCGTTCAGTTTGTATTCCAACCCTGCCAACGAGTTCCAGAGCTTAGAAGCCCCATGTGGGAACTGAGCTTGGCAGAGAAGTCCTGACAGGAAGCATTGGTATGACGAATGTCTCTGAAAACTTTCCCCTATACAGTCACTACGATGGCAACATTTTCTAAAGAAATTTCATTTTAAAATTTCTTCAGAGACCAGGGGTTGAGGATGTAGCTCAGCTGGTACAGTACTCGCCTAGCACAAGGCTCCGGCTTCAATGCCCAGCACCATATAAAACCAGGCATCATGGTGCATGCCAGTAATTCTGTATTCAGGAAGTAGAGGCAGGAGGATCAGAAGTTCAAGGCCAGTCATAGTGAGTTTGAGATCAGCCCTGTCTTCCTAAGCACACACATGTGCGCACGCGTACACACACACACACACCCCAAAAAATTGTTGTGGGACGATCTTTTTGTACACTGTGAAGATGTATCACTCTGATTGGTTTCATAAAAAGCTGAATGGCCAATAGCAAGACAGAATTTCCAGGCCCAGGTTGCTGGAAGAAGAAGGCAGAGATGCCAGGAGACACAGAGCAGGCAACATGGGCATTACAAGTAAAGGTAATCAAGCCACATAAAGAAAGTAGATTAAAATGTATGAGTTAATTTCAGTTATAAGAGCTAGCTAAAAACAAGCCCAAGCTATTGGCCAAGCTTTCATAATTGCCAAAAGGTCTCTGTGTCGTGATCTGGGAGCTGACTAGAGGAACAGAGAAAGATCTGTTATAAAAAAATAAAATTTATTAAAATATTATTATCTATAAGTCCTTTGTATTATTATATCAGAATGAGGCTGAATATTGATAAAGAACAGAAATTTATTTCTACTCTGGGAGCAGGAGAGTCCAATATAAAGGTCGCAGCGAGTCTCCTCGTTTGGTAGGGATAATTGGCTGGTTCTGAATCAGTGTCTCAAGGATGCATCCTCCTGAAGGCAGAAGCATGGAAGGGAGAAGAGAAAAATAGTCTACTGTGTAGTCTGGTTTTTTTGTGTTGTTGTTGTTGTTGTTGTTGTTGTTGTTGTTGTTCGTTTGGTTCCTCACATTGTTATCCAAACTAGCCTCGACCTAAAGGTCTACCACCCTCAGTCCCAGCTTCCCAAATGCTGGGATTACAGGCATGTACCACCAAACTCAGAACAAAGCTTCCTTTTTGATGATTTTATTTTTATTAGTCTATGATCACATGTAGATGTGCATGTGCATATGGATATGTGCGTGTAAGGCCAGCGCTGTAATACCTTCTAGAACTGAAGATACAGAAGGCTGTAACCTACCTGAAATGGGCCCTCTAGAAGAAGAGTAAGCTCTTAACTGCTTTCTCCAACCCTGGAAGCCTCTTTTCTGAGAGACTTAATCCCACCTCTGATGGGAAGACCCTTCACAAATATGACCCCACTCTTTAGATGAGCACTTTGGAAGAGTCAAGGTCACACCACAACCACAGCAACAGGAGTGGGAGTAGACACACCTTCCCGCCACCAAAACAATGTATTTGAACACCTGCTTCAGATTAAAAGCACCCAGCCAGAAGCTAGAGATGTTTTATTCAGCACAGCAGTGAAGGTGTTGCGTAGACTCCAGCTGTGCCTCACTGCAGCAGCTGAGCCAGAAGGGCAGGGTGACTGAAGGGCTGACTCATCAGCCCTGTTCCCAGCAGCTCAGACACAGTCATCCAGTCAGGCTCACCAACACCAAGCAAAAGCACCTTCTAAACCTGACCATGCTGTCTTTCAGCTAGGAGGATACAGGATAAGTAGGAAGTGAAAGGGGGACAAACTATTTGTGAGTGCCCAGGACCTGCGAGAAAAATATGCAAGCAATTTTAGATATTTCTAGACTTCTACACAGACATTCTAAAATACCTCCAAAAAACTTGTATATTCAGCCATGAGACAGAAATTAAATATATGAGTGGGTGTTTAATCAGAACGACAGTAACTGTTAAATTTGCTACTTATTGTTAGAGAGTGTGTTGGTCTGAATGAGAATGGCTCCCATAGGCTCATATATTTGAATGATTGGCCCCGGTTGGTGGAACTGTTTGGTAAGGATTAGGAACTGTGGTCTTGTTGGAGGAGGTGTGTCACTGTGGGCAGGCTTTGAGATTTCAAGAGCCCATCTATTCCCAGTTCACTCTCTCATTTCCTGCTTCTGGAGCAGGTTGTGAGCGCTTGTGGACTGCTTGTTTGCCTGCTGTCATGGTCCCCACCAGGAGTGCCGTGGACTCTCACCTCTGAAACTGTAAGACCCAAATTAACTCTTTCTTCTGTGAGTCGCTGTGGTCCTGGTACCTATAGCAATAGGAAATTAAGACAGAAAAGAAAAGGTTCAAATCAAGAAGTTCAGGGGGGAAACCTATAGGACAAAAATCGATAAGGAAGGTAAAGGAATCAAATACTAAAGATAAGAAAACACACATCCCAGCACGCTGCATGTGGATTCAGAAGGATCCTGAGTTGAAGGCCAGACTCAGCTACACAGTGATTGAGGTCAGTCTGGGCAGCATGAGGCTCTGCCTAAAGACAAAGAAAAGTAGAGAAATAGCAACATAAAAATAATGCCAAAAGTTTTATTTTAGAATATAAGGAGAGGTAAGAAGGCTAAGACTCCTGATCAAGCAAACAAAGCAACAGAACACACACAGCTGAGAAGCGATACAGGCAATATAAAAAGCACAGAGATCTTGTTTTATTCTAAGCAAGTTTTTTTGTAACCTGAAGCTAAAAAAAAAAAAAATGAAACACTTAAGAAAATGGCTTATAGTCTTGAAATAGGTGTAGCTGCTCCAATCGCAGTGAAGTTGGGCTGGGAGTGTAGCCCAGAGATAGCCCATCCATCCAACAAGCCAGAGGCCATGGGCTTGATTCCAAGCACAATAAAATCAATCATTTAGTGAATTTAAAAATAGAAAACAGGAATGAAATGACTATGTAAAAACCAAAATAAATAAAAATTGCCTCTGGCTTTAGTCTATTTGCCAAAGACATCTGCTCCTCTTCCTATTCTGGCTTTTACTTGCTCCTTGCACTTTAGACAAATTTACACTCTAAATAAAATTCACACATTTATGAATTCATACAATTCATACATTGTCTTTTTACTTAGCATAGTGAGGAAGGCAAGCGTAGAGATAGCTGGGAGACCTGGGAAACTGTTCTTGGGAAAGAAACCAATTCATCTCCTTCCTTGAACAATAACACCTGCACTACCCTCAGCTTGGGGTGGGACACATCCTGGCAAAGGAGAGACTAAAGAGCCCAACTTACACCATGTGGGACACCAGCACTGTGAAAACTAATCCAGCCTTGAAGCATATGGAGGATCGGAATGTTTATATGCCTGAAATTATGGAATGTATGACCTATTTACACACAGATGGTCCAGAGTTACGCAACAGCCCTCCCGTGGATAGGGTACCGATCCACCCCCATTCCATGCGTTGGAATCTGCTGCAGACCCAGAAAGAACCCCAGAAAGGAACTGGGGTACTTGAGCTAAACCTGCTCTGCCCACTCACTCTGTGGAGTGTGCTCGCTGCTCTTACCCTTGCATTTAGTGACTCAACCCCTCCGCTGCGGCTTCCCTGTGTCCTGTTAAAAATGCAAGAAACCTGAACACTGACGCAGAGGAACCTTGGGACCCCTCCGGAAACCAGACGCGCAACTGTACCCTCTCATGGGACTAAAGCTCCTCCTCTGTGATGGTCGTGAGAGCTGGAAAGCATCGACTCTTACTAGGGTGCTAATATTAGATGTGTACATGGTTAATGCTTTCTTGGTTTTGAAACTGCCACCCAGTTCAACTTCTCTGTCCGTTAATAATTTTCTCCTTGGGGGGATTTTCTTCGTCCTCCTTGACTCACTCTGTGAAAGGAATTTTACCTGGAACAGCGATGTCGCTTTCCCAAAATTTATGCCACCCACACTTAACACCAAGAACTTGACAGTTTCTCTCTCCAACTGTGCCCTCGCCAGTGTCTGAGTGAGTCACGCCATTTATGAACTAAAAGAAAAAAAAAAAAAGAACTCCGTTCGTGAACACAGTGTCTCAATTGAAACGTCTGTGAACTAGTGACGCCATTACAAGTAGGTATTATTTTCATTTCCTGTTCTAGATTACCCTGTTCATATGATGAAATCCTTTTCACCTTAAACTTTAAAAGAACTCCTACAGGATAAGAAGCTAGTCTTTTGCTTGCTGTGATTGCCACGTGCTTTTCCTACTCCTCTTTAACTTTCAGAGTGAGCACCACTGTGAATAAAATACTCTGAGATTTTCTTCAGGTCTTTAACTTTTAATCAAAAATGTTCCGTATTTCTTTTTTATAGCTTCGCAATTCTTAAAAATAAAATTAATTAATTTTCTAATGGCAAAAATCTTAACCACCCACTATAGGAAATTTGATATTTTTAAGAAAAGAAAATCATATCACATTTTTTTAGAAATTCAGAAAGAATTTAATATTAGGAAATTTATTAATGAGTTTATACTAATATATCTATTAAGATAAATCACATGATCTATGTAGATGTCCCCAGATAATAAAATAATAGTAGTCTCCAATATAAGAAAAAACAAATTCTGTATAAAAAAATACAAGTAAAGAAAGTAAGATTAGCACAGGCAGAAGTAAAATGGAGAGCAGAGACACAATGGAGGAAGTGAATGAAACCAAAGCCAGTTGCTTGAAAGAATCAAAAAAGCTGAAGAGCCTTTACCTAGACGAGCAAATAACAGGAGAGACTAGACGACTGACCTCCAGAATGACGAGGAACATAACTGCTGACCTCACATAAGCAAAACAGAGACTGAAGGAATCCCGTGAGCAAGTGCACAGCAGCCAGTGACCCAGACAAGGCGAGCATGGGTTCTCAGGGATGCAGACCTGACGAAACAACTCTACAAACAGAAAACGAGAGCGAAGCTACACAGAGACTAAGTTAGAAATCAAGACTTCTACCCAGAAAACCCTAGCCCAGATAAAAAAGGAACGCCCTTGCCCACAAACTTCCCCCCTCAAAACAAATAAGAAGAAAATAGAAAACCAGAGCAATGGGGACCTAATTAACTCATTCCGTGAGGTGGGATCCTGGCAGCCACACCAATAACACCACAAAGAAATAAAGCTACCAAGCAGGATTTGCGGTGAAGGCAGATACAAATAAGCTCACTCCAATGTGAAGAACAGAACTGAGATGCGTATATAAGAGCTTACACACATATTCAAGCAAGATTTACCTGGGAATACAGCTTTTCCAGCATACAAAGATATCTCTAGGTTTTGTGCCATAGTACAAGGTTAAAGAACAGAAATCAAATGATCCAAATGATCGGCAAATGCACAAAAAGTGTTTGACGCTGTAGGAACTGATCTGAGCAGTAAGCATTCTCAGTCTTTAAAAAAATATATATTTATTAGTATTCAGTGTGGGTGTGTATGTGTGTGTGTACATGTGTATGTGTGTGTGTGAGAGAGAATATGTGTGTGTGTGTGTGCGTGTGTGCGTGTGTGTACGTGTGCATGTGTGTACATGAATGCAAGTGCCTGTGAAGTCAAGTTGCCTGAAATGGATTCTGGGACCTGGAATTGGACTCTCTATAACATCAATACATTCCCTTAACTGCTAAGCCATCTCTAAGGACCCTAAATGATATTTTCTCAATTCTCAGTTGATTCTAATGTGGAGGCAAAGTCATAGCCTTTACTCTGTCTCTGGTCTGCGTTTTGAGATAAGCTCCCTTCCTAGAGATCAGCTTGCATAATTTATTGCAATGGTCTTGAGCTACTAACATTAAAAATGGTGAAATTCCTAGATCCTGGTGGATTTTGTGTTGGAAAACTTATCTGCCCCCTTCTTTAGGACCATCAAATCACACAACTAACTACAAGGGAATACTGGTTTTCATCAGCGTTTTGACTGTGTGTGAGAGTGGGCTGTTGAAATAATTTGATCTACACACAACCTGTCAATATGTTTGTAGTTTGTAAAGAATTGCTTTCATGAAGCCATTAAATTGCGTCAGAAAATGATTGACATATTATCGTGACCACATCATTCACGAGTATATCCAGAGCTTTTTTTTCAAATGCAAGCGGTGGCCAGAGAAACAGCTGGTGTCCTTGTCTCAAACCGGAAGCTTCAGATTATAAAGCAATGAATCATCCATGTCACCAGTAGAGCAACACTGCGAAGATCTAACAGAAAATAAGGGAAGGTTCATTCCAATTTACTCTTCCTGCCAAGCTACTCTGGTTCTTCAAAGCTAATATCAAGTATAGTAATACATAAGCATATTAATATGACTAATTAAATATGGGTTTGGAGCATTCATTTTTATTCTTATCCCACTAAAGGTAGATCTGCTTAAGTACAATCTTTTGTTTCCCATTTGAATACTCCATTTGGGCTTTGGCACTGTGATACCAAAATTATTTTTGCACAGTTTTTTTTTTTGAAGCGTGGTTCAAGCTGTCTATATATTTGAATGGCACCATTTGATACATTCTCTATACACCCATAAGCCATCATAACCATCAAGATAACAAGCATCCTCAATGGCCTCTGTGTGCCCTTTCATGATCCTTGATGTTTATATCACCCGGGCAAATTCTGCTACTAACATTAGCTTGGATTTTCTGTGACTTTTAACAAAACTGGATCATACAATAGGTGTTTTGTTGGCCTAATCTCTGCTGCTCAGTGTGATCATCCTGAGACTCGGCCATGCTGTAAAGTGCATTGATGGGCCATTCCTTTTTCAGCCAAGTAATATTCATTTTATGGATAAACCAATGTCTGTCCATCCTGTTGTTTATGAAGGAGACATTTGAGTCATTTCCAGTTTGGTGTTCCTACAAAAAGCCAATAGAAACAGTGAGGCACAAGTGGGTGTCTGGTCATCTCTTTCCCTTCCTTTAAAAATAAATCCTTGCAGCAAAATGTCTAGACTACAGTCAGATAAATGCCTAAACACTTTTTGTTTTGTTCTGTTCTGTTTTTCAAAACAGGGTCTCTCTATGTGGCCTTGGATATCCTAGAACTCGCTCTGTAGGCCAGGCTGACTTTGAACTCACAGAGATCCACCTGCCTCTACCTTTAAGTACTGGAAATAAAGGTGTGTGCCACTACTGCCTGGCTGCCTAAATGTTTTTTGATGTCAGTCAGTTTCTAGAGTATTCATACCATTCTTTAATTCTGCCAGCCGCACATGCCAACTCTAACTGCTCCATGTGTTGAGCAAGACTTTGAGTGTTCATGATTTCTAGTCTGAGCCCTTCATGTTAACTGATGTGTAGCCACATGTTAACTAGTGTGTAGTCACATGTTAACCGGTGTGTAGTCACACATTAATTGGTGTGTATCACATATTAACTGGTGTGTAGTCACATGTTAACTGGTGTGTAGTCACGTGTTAACTGGTGTGTAGTCACATGTTGCAATTTCATTTCTGTCTTTACTGTGTTATAATTTATATTATTGTTGTTTATATTTATATTTTATTTTTCATGAAATATATTTATATTTTTGCATTTTCTATTTCTCTAGTGACTGATAATATTTACACATTACACAAGCTTATTTGCCATCTGTATGTCTTCCTGAGTGAAGGACCCACTTAAATCTTTTGCCCATTTTAATTGAGCTCTTTTTTTTGTTTTGAATACTAAAATTCTGTCTGCGTACTGGTTACAAGTCATTAAACAAATATTGTTTTCCCCAGTCTACAGCTTGCTTGTATTTTTGTTATCCTAACAATTACTTTGAAGAGCAGAAGTCTTTAAATTTCATGAAATCCATCTTATCAATCTTCTCTTGTCAGTTTTGCCCTTGGTAGCATAAATCTAAGCAATATTTGTCTAGCTTAAGACCCCAAGTTTTTTTTTTTTTCCTTTACTATCATCTACAAGTTTTATAGTTTTACAGCTTAGGTTCATGAGTCACTTCTGCTATTTGTATATGATGTAAGCAAGGCACAAATCAAAGTAGTTTCTTTTCTTTTAAACCTTTTTCAGCTTGCACTCGAGTCTAATTCCTCTAATCCCTTCTGTAAGTGGTGTCCCTTCTCCACTGACTTGCACAGGCACCACTTGTGGCCAACAAATGTATGCCTTTCGAAATCCCCTCTGCTCCTCCACTGGTCTATTGTTAAGCTTCATTTGAATACGACGCTGTCATAAGACCTGTGGTTTTTCACACAGAGGCTTGAAAGGAGGCATATCATTTTGAGCCAGTTTTGACTGGCTCCAAAAGACCAGCCCTTCACGAAAGCACAATCACAGACAGTATGGTTAGTCCTAGATATTCAGCAGCAACAAATTCAAACTAGGAAGCCCATCTTCAGAGAGGGATACTCCAAACCACGCCTGCTCTTCGTCACTTGAATCTGCTCTCGAGCTCTGCAGACGGTTGGAGGTCTGCAGGGATGAAGGGTGGACCTGCTCTTCCTGCTGACTTCTCGCTCTGATGAACATCACTCCAGCTAGCACTGCGTTTTCACCCCAGAAGCTTCGGTGCCTCCCCACACTGGCAAGCCAAATCCAGTACTCTCATGGACCTCTACGGTGGATACCCAGTTTTGTTAGCACAATCCCTTGAATAGCCTATCGTCTTCCCAGTGTGTGTTTTTGATAGCTTTGCCAAGAAACAAGTGGTCACATCTGTGCTGGCTTATTTCTGGGTCTTCTATTCCTTTATGTTCGTCTGTGTGGCAGTTAGTATTATCAACCTGACAGGACCTAAAGTCACTTGGAAGATAGGCCTTTGACCTTGTCCCTGAGGGAGTATCTTGATTGTGTTAATTAAGGTGGGAGGAGATGCTCATTGAGGTGGTGCCCTCATTTCCCTGGCTGGGGCTTTAGAACACAGAAACGGAGACAGAAACTGAGCAGCAGCACGTATTTATCCCGTTCTGTTTGCTGACGGTGGGTTCAGTGTGACCAGTGTAGCTCTGAGCTACAGTAAGCCTTTTCTCCCCTAAGCTTCTCTTGTCAGGGGTGATTTATCGCAGCAACAGGCAAACAAACAAATCGGGAAAAGACAGTCCACAGAGCTGTCTTTCCAAAAGTACTAGGCTGTCTTGGAGTCAACTACCTCTGTGGGATAATCTGCCCTCAGGTCCTAGGAAGCTCTCATGGGGAGTTGCTTTAGCTCTCCCTCATCTCTTAGGTCCCCGTGTGGGTTCTTGGATTGTTATTTCCAGTTCTGAGAAGGGATGACCTTGGGAATTTGCTTGGAATTGGGTTGACGCTGTAGATCACTTTCAGTGGTATTAATTTTTTTGTGAGGCTGAAACGGTTCTAAAAGGACATGAATAAAATTTTAACTCTAAACAAAATTACAGTTATTTCACAGATGAAGATGTTGAGGATTTAAGCAGAGAGAATGGCTTACAGAAGATGCAATCACTGTGTGAAGGAGGATTTGCCCTTCAGTAGTAGAATTTGCATGGCTAAACGTTTCAGAATGGGAAATAAGAGAGTTATCCAATGTTTACACTGAAGGCACCCTAAGGACTGCGACCAGTAGGCTTCAACCTTGGGAGCAAACTGGCCTCAAGTGCAGATATTTAGATTTACTGAAGTTCCATGAGGCCTGTTTTAGCCCATCAGCTATATGGAGAGACACTGAGTCAAAGAACAAAGGGAAGCTCCCACCACCGTGGTCCAAGAGCGCAAGGCACCTCAAAGAGTTCTTTGCAGGAATGCAGACTCCACTGAGAGAAGGCTTGCCTAAAATGCGCAAGGTCCTCCGGTTCTTTATATGTTTATAAACTGGGCCTGAGGGTGCATACCTGTAATCCCAGCTGCCGGGGTGACAGAGGGAGGATCAAAAGTTCAAGGTCATCCTCAGCTACAAATCGGGCTTCAGACTACCCAAGACTGCATGAGATGCTGCCTCAAAAAATAAAGTATTATAAAAATATTCATGTCTAAGACAGATAGAAAGAGATAAAAT